CAACTCTAGGTTTTCCTCCTCGTCAGAGACGACCTCACGACCTACCTCGTCGGAGATCGTCCGGCTACTACTTTCTGTCGCTCGTTCCGCCATTCTTCCCGACGATCGATAAATTTAAAGCGAAAATAAAGAGGAAAACGTGCTAACTAATTGGAGGATGGAAGGGAAAGAAGGTGAAAAAACTTACCGAAAGTACACGGCGAGGTCAGGGACGCCGGGAACGGTAACCGTGAGAATAGAAGAAAAGGCGAGATCGAAAACGAAGGGACAGGCAGGGAGAAAGTTGTATGAATCAAGGAAAGGGAAAAAGAGAAGTATTTATACTCAGAAGATGTAACCGTTACAAGGATAACCGGCGATTCGCGAACCGCCGCCTTAAAGGATAGGGACGCTCTGTCTTGTCTCAACGGAAACACGCGGACCAATACGGGATTGCCACGTGTGAAAACTGTCAGAGATCGTGGGAACGTGCAAAGAAGGGTTGAAACCGCTTAAGTCAGAAGGAAGCAAGCGCGTCGAGTCGTGACATCACGCGCCATGATTGGAAAACCCATGAACCACCGGACTGGAAGAGTTGCGTTTTTTGGCTAAGTATAATAAGTCGGTTGAGATTCGGACAGAGGAGGTGCAGATACATGCCAGGGATGACATTAAGGCGGGCTTAAGTATTAGCCCCCCTCAATGTCAGGGGCCTTAATGTTGACCTAAAAATCTACCTTAGCGTTGGATGGCTGACACGTGGACGGCGAGGAAGTAAAGGGATCACGCCCCAAAAGTGCCAAAAAAGCGTAACCCAACCTGTGGTGGCCGACCTCATTTAGACAGCCGACCTTGTCGGGAAGCTGACCTCCTACATGAGGCAACCTCGGGTGCAGGCCGACGTCGGAGCGAACAAGCAACATTTAATGCGGGTACCATCAACTGTTCAGAGCCCATGTGGAGACATCATTGCGCGAGGGGGCCCCACAGACAGAAAAAGCTGCGCAGATGTCATTCCTCATTAAATGCCGCCGAATCTCCTCAAAAGATGAGCCCCCAGTTACTATAAATAGCAGCAATAAAGGCAATACGAGGATCTTTTCCCCGACACATAAATTCTGCATTAATCACCTCGGCTATTACCAACTTTAGCTTCATTGTATAAGAAAAACCGACCTCAAACTCGCGAAATACCGACTTGATATTTTCCTAGATAATTCTCAATTATTCAATAAAACCGTCCCATCACGCTATTAATCCAATAATCATTAATATAAATAAGTTGATCAAATCCGTTTATCAACAATAGCATGAAGGTCATTGTTTGTTGTAGCGACGAGGGATGTAAGTGGAGAATATAT